TGTGACGCACATTGGGAACTATGCCTTTCAAGATTGCAGCTCTTTGGCAAACTTGACGATCCCGAACTCAGTGACCCACATTGGGGATGGTGCCTTTTGGGGTTGCAGCCATTTGGCATCCTTGTCCATCCCGAACTCAGTGACCCAAATCGGGGATTATGCCTTTCATGCCTGCGATTCTTTAGTCTTGAGAGTGTTTGCTGTCTCCGTGACCAGGTTCGATATGTACAAACTACACGGGTGCAAACGAATCCTAGCCAAAGAATGTCACTGTCATGAATGCGAGTACAGCTGGTTTCTGAAAGGCTGGGTTTGTCCCCTGTCAAATGAACACCATCGCTAAGACCGTCTTTGTCGGAAAAAAACAAGCGGCGACGCGGCGCCACCCACACCGATCTGACCCTGAAAACTGGACCAGTCTGCTGCCCCTGAAGACTGGACCAGTCTGCTGGTCCAAATCTTCAGTCAAACCTTGAATCCTAACATATTTTTTTGTTTTCGATCCAGGTGACATGTCACCAACTTCAGTGAAATTCCTGACCTGAGGGATTGATGACCTGGGATGGATTCTCGACCCTTTTCACGTCACGGTTGGAGTATGTTTTTCCGCCTGGTTGGAGATGTAGTGTCCAGATGAGAGGTCTGGCGCCAGCAAACATGGGACAGTTGGTTCTGTGTTCCAAAAACCTCAGCAAACCTCATACCTGGAGTTGCATGACCTGGGCTCCTTCGTACCTCGGGGCGTCGTTCTTACCTTTCAGGGGCCAGCCGGCAGGAAAGTAGCTGTTTTTGCTTCCAGAATCATGTCCCAAGGTCGATCTTTCGAGTCCATAGACCCTGGAGTCTATAGGCATCTCTGTGGAGTTGAGGCATCGAAAGAGTCCTCCAGGTCGAGGGCAGGTGAAATGGCACTTCTGGGCAGTTACGGCTTCCACCCGCTCGCGCTAACTTGCGGGGTGGTTCATGGATGGACACCAAGAATCACCCGTTTCCCGAATGCCTAGCGAAGGGTTCTCGTTTAACTCTGGGGGTCTGGGGGTAGACTCGTGTGTCATAGCGTTCGCAACCGCCCGCTGCCGTTCGCAACCGTTTCATAGGAGGGCGCTACGGCGCTGACATTGGGCGAAGCTTGTGGAGAGGGTTTTGGATGGAAGCATGACGTGCCAGATTCGTGTGACATAGCGAGGAAACGTGTGGAAGCGTGAGAGGATGAAGTGTGGAAATTGATTTCACTGCGCAGGTGCAGCGTTTTGTGAGATCCGCAGCTTTTCTTTGCAGTCAGATGGGTCTTGGCGTTTAGAGGGTGGTTTTTTTTGGCCCATCTGCTCCATCGGTGCACAGCCGTGGTCTCCCATGCTTTGCGCTGGGAGTGGTGGCTTGAACCGGTGCTTGAGTTGGAGCCTCTGCATCAGAAGATCCTCCACGTTGGTCGCTGTACTGCTCAGGTTCATGCGGCTTGGAAAAAATTGCGACCTCAGGTGCATTACGACGTGTCGCGGGTTTCCTCTCTTTAGATTGAGCTGCTTTTATAGTGAAGGCAGCATGTTTGCAGCGTTTTTGGCGCCCACATGTGCTCTGGTTGGGGCCCTGGTTCCACTTCCCACTGCCGTTCTTCTACTTACTTCTCATAGTGCTCATTACCTGTCCGTGTCTTTGTTTTTTCCTTTTCATCTACATCTCCACCACTCCGGCCATGTTTGGCGCAAGTGGGGAGATTGCTGCGGAGCACCGTCTGACGTGTGCCACCCCCAGCCGCCCGCCATAGGGCGTCCACCTAACAGAGCCTAACAGAGCCTTTGGGTGTTGCATGTGGCTGTGACGTTGGGGTTTGCGTTTCAGGTGACAAGTGTCAGCTAAAATGGCGATTTTGGTGGAAGGGAGTGTGCTCAGAACGTGTTGAAATCATTCCAAACGTGTGGTGCAAAATTGGCTGCAGACGTGAAGATGTCACGTCGTCACTTTTCGTGGTGGGCGCGTAATTTGTGCGTGTTGGAGGTGTCAAAGTTGAATTTTCGTAGCAGGCGCAGGGGTTCAATGACTTCGTCAGCGTCATGTTTGTGACCACATCACATGGGAAAGAGAAAAAACGTGGGCTCCAACTGTTACAGTGAAGTGCCGTTTGCCATGGCACTTGAAGCTCGGTTGTTTCGAGGGATGCCCAGTGGAAGCCTGGAGGTGTCCAGTCAACGACTATACTCAAAATTGTTACACTGAGACCCACAACGAGGAATTTCCTTGGCTTGGGGGGTTCCAAGAGCCTAGTCTTTGACTTCACTGGGCGCATGCAGAAGTCCAGAAGATGTTGTGTGGCTTCAGATGGTTTTAGTATTTTTTTGTATACGTTTTTGTTTTTGGAATGTTGTGCTCGCCGTGTTGTTCCGACGTTTGTTCGGGTGAGTCTACAGTAGGAAGTGCTATCAATGGAGACCATTTTGCACCCATCGGGCCAAAACATTGGAGAGTCAGGTTCCATCTGGCTCCCTTGCTTCAAGTGAAAACTCTTGGCTTCGAGCCTTCCAAAGACCACCGTTTGAGAGGAAGGTTGATCATGATTGAAACATGTTTTTTTGGTTTTTCTACGACATGGTCGTTCGGTGAAGCCGCTGAGTCGTGGGTCTTGGGGTCCAGGGAGAAGCCGCAGGAGAAGCCGCGTTCGATCAAGGGGGGGCGCCGCGTTCGCATGAGGGTCAACGAAAAAAGGGTCAAAGATGTCCACCGCCTTTGAAATGGTGAAAGGTTGCTCCATGCAAATCAACAAAAATGCAGTATACATGCATAGAATCTAGATCAACATTATGCATTCTATAATATTATTCATTGAAGTTCATTGGCATATATAATGCCATATATTTTGTTGGAGACCGGGACAGGAAGGCTGGCAGACTTCATGACACGGCCATGACATGTGCGACGAACCATGAAGGACCAACGCCCCCCCCCTCCGTGACGACCCGACCCGCCGTGGCTGTTGGGCTCAGCGCGGGACCCGCCAGGGGGGCGCGTTGGGAACCGCGGTGGTGAGGAGGTGCGGAGCATAGGAGCAAAGGGGTGCGCAGTTGAAGGGGTGCACCGAAGAGGTGCCCTCTTTGGTCAAGATGAGGCCCCAACTGGGCCGGAAAGGAAGTGGGGGAAGTCGCGTTTGCCTTCGGGTCTCCGTTCAGCAGGACGTTCGGGCCGCCGACTGGATGGCCAGAGTGGAGATCCGGCAGGGCAGTCGCCATCCTTGGAGCCCCCAGTCCTTCCCGCTGTCCGTCCTTCGAGTCCCGCTGCCACAGGTCATGGAGCGATGGATCTACAAGGCGACGCGCGTCGGCGACGCGCGGACGCGCGGACGCGCCTTTTTGGGGGGCGAAGAGTGGCCACCGGAAAAGCGTGGCATCGGTTGAAAGACTTGCGCAGTTTCTGCGCAGATCCATCATAAAATCATAGTAGCAAGAATTGGAATTAGATATAATAAGATCAAGAAAAATTCAGGAATAGTGAATAACAATCAGGACGGTAATGATAAAGTAATACACCAATAAAACCTTTCACTGGTGTATTGGTTCCTTATAA